GGTGCAAGTGTGGATTTGGGGAGGCCGAGAGGGGTGTCAGGGGGGATTTGGGGGGGCTATGAGGGGGGTTTGGGGGTTCAGAGGGGTTTTGGGGTTCTGGGGGGCTGCCAGGGGGGTTCAGGGGGGTGTCAGGGGGGTTTTGGGGTGCCGTGGACCCCCCTGACCCTCCGTTTCCCCTCCAGCATGGCTCTCTCAACAAGTACCACCACAGCCACCCCCTGCGGGAGCGTGCCCGGAAGCTCTCCCAGGGCATCCTGGTCATCAGGTGAGGGGCAGACACACCCAGAACGGCCCCTGGCACAGCTGGGGGGTCCCTGGGACACCCCCAAACCTCCCTTGCCCCCCTGTGCCCCCCTCCAGGTTCGAGATGCCCTTTAACATCTGGTGCGACGGCTGCAAGAACCACATCGGGATGGGTGAGTGGGGCTGGGGGCAGCTTGGGCGGTTGGGAGGGTGTCCTGGGGTGTTGGGGAGGTTCTGGGGGAGCTTTTGAGGGTTGTGAAGAATCAGGGGGTCAGTTGTTGAGGGTTTGGGGAGGCTGGGGGATGTCGGGGATTTTTGGGGAGGGTCTGTCTGGGGCTTTTGAGGGGTCCAGGGGCAGCGGGGGATTCGAGGGGCATGGCAGCAGAGTTTTGGGGGGTGGGGGTGTTTTGGTGAGTCCCAGGGGTTTTGGGTGGTCAGTGGGGGTCCCCAAATCCTTTGTGGAGGGGGAGGTCTGACCTCTCCCACCCCCCAGGCGTCAGGTACAACGCGGAGAAGAAGAAGGTGGGGAATTACTACACCACCCCCGTGTACAGGTGGGTGTGACACCCTCCCCCTCGAGCTCTGGGGACACCTGGGGATCCCCCCTGGACACCCCCTGAGCCGTGACCCCCCACCCCGGCCCTCCCAGGTTCCGGATGAAGTGTCACCTGTGCGTGAACCACATCGAGCTGCAGACGGACCCCGCCAGCTGCGACTACGTCATCGTCAGCGGGGCCCGGCGCAAGGAGGAGCGCTGGGACCCCCGGGACAGCGCCCAGGCCCCGCCCCCCTGTGAGTCCAGCAGCACCAGTAACCCCAGGAACCCCAGTATGGCCCAGTCCCAGTGTCCCCAGTGAGTCCCAGTGTCCCCCGTGAGTCAGTCCCAGAAAAGAGCGCTGGGACCCCTGGGACAGCACCCAGCCCCCACCCCTCTGTGAGTCCAGTACGGCCCAGTAACACCAGTATGGCCCAGTAACCCCACTCAGGCTCAGTCCCAGCCCCGCTGGTCAGCCCCAGTCACTCCCAGTGCTCCCATTCCCATTCCCGTTGCAGCCCCGGAGCACAAGGAGCGCCTGGCCCTCGATCCCATGTTCCGCCTGGAGCACGGGGTGCAGGACCGGGGGGTCCTGGAGCGTGAGACCCCCACCCTGAGCCGTCTGCAGGAGGCCCAGGACGCCTGGAGGGACGACTTCGGGCTCAACAGCCGCCTGCGCCGGCAGTTCCGAGTGAGGGACCCCCCAGCACCACCCCGGGACCCCCAAAATGCTCCCAGGGGGACTCCGGATCCCCAAATAACCCACCCGGGACCCCCAACCACCCACTGGGGGGGCTTGGGGACCCCCAAAAGCCCAACTCTGGGAGCGCTCTGGGACCCCCACACACCCAGTGCGAGGGTGTCCGGCCCCCCCTCACCCGTGGGGGGTCTCGGCCCCCCCGTGTCCCCCCAGGAGGAGAAGAAGACGCTGCGGGAGGAGGAGGAGGAGGCAGCGGCGCTGCGGGCGAGGGCCGGGCTGAGCATCCCCCTGGTGCGGGAGGAGGAGGAGGATCGGCGCCTCGCTGCCCTGCTCACCC